AGATTTAATCTGGGGCAGCTGCAAAATGAAAATTATAATGATCAAGTTAGGTATTAAATACACTTGCAATAAAGAAAATAAAACAGAAAGCAGGTTATCTGTGAAAAACAAGAAAGCAAGCCCTTCCTCCCACTTCTTAGTCTAACCACATTCAGCCTAGGCAACAATAGTCTTAGGACACTACTGAGCTCAGTTCAGTTGCAGAAGCAAATAGTATTCAGCTGTTTTAAAATATCCCACCTTATTGGCAGGCACTACAGGACATGGATCCATACAAGACATGGGTCTCCTGGTAGCCTCACATCTGCACCAAGATGCAATGGATGTCGTAAAGCATCTCATCAAGGACAAGACACCTACACTGGACAACTGAATTAAACCAGACTCAAATTGTGTTCTAAACTCAAACTAAAGACTTTCTCCTGGAGTCCTCAGTCTTGCCAAATTCTGGCCTCCAAACCCACCCCCCAAATTTATACTCTCCTTAGATTTATTAGTCCATATGAGCCTAGAAGCACAAATTGGACTCAACAGGAGAATTTTGAGCATGGCTACAACAAATTTGGGTAAGGGAAAGTAAGATAACTGGGATAGTAAGCAGAAAACCATCTAACCTAGTAGGTAACGAAGTTCTGAAGGTTGTACCTTAAACTGATGTCTCCTATTCCTGGAAGCTCAAGAGGTACCTATGTTATTAAAAAGGGTTGTAAAACCCTCAGGCCTCCCCAGTAGCAAGATACAAAGTTATTCTTTTCACAAGCTCCTGAGGAAAGGAGTCATGCAATTTTGAAGTTTCAGATGAGAGAGCAGGAGCATGCCCCCAAGCACCATCGAGCTACTTAAAAGCATCAGGAAAGCAACCACAGAGGAAGTAAAAGTGGGTGGTAGGCTCTTTTCAGGTTGAGAGACTGGCTCCCAACCACATCTCTGCACACCAGGGTAGTGCCCTAAACCACAGTCCTAAGATTATTCCTGCTGAAGCCATGAAATGGAAAAATATTCACTGGATGAAACAATGAAACACCTATAGAAACCAGATTTCCCTCACCTGAATGCCTTAATCACAGGGTAGGAGTCACTCTCCCTCTGGCCTAATTATTGTTTGGGGTGTTTTTCAAAGTAACACAGTTGCAGGTGAAATAAAGGACAGCTTATGACACGCTGCTTGTTGCACTCTCTTGGGAAGAAGGTGATGTTAGCTAAAGGTACTTAAAGCTGAAAAGAGGACAGAGAATCAAGCATCATATTTAATGAGTATGGGATGCAACTAACGCAACATCAAACAAAGAGAAGAGAGAGATATTAACATCACTGCAAATGCTTCTACCTCAAGTTTGAGGTAGAATGCATTTATTTCTTAGCAAAACAGGCTTTTCAAATCCTGAGGAAACATTTCCATCTCGGGATGCCAAATGCAGTGAGGCAGGAGAGAGATGCCACTCTCCAGAACAGTCTCTGGTAATAGCTCTGGATGGATGCAGAAATGAAGCTCTGTGCATCTCTTTTTCCATAAAAAATATGGAAAAGTGTGCTTTCAGACAGGGGTTTTAAGACCATCAACCTTAGCTTTGAGGTATCTAATTGTAAAATAGGCCACTCAAATAATTTATGAATTCAGGCAGTAATACAGCAGGGAAAAGGATTCCCCCTCTGCCCAAATCCCATAAATTATATATGAAAAAGCTTCTAACAACTATTTAAATTTTAAGTTAAACCTATGTGTATCAGAGAGATACAGGAGAGTACAGTCAGTGTAAGTCTACACATCCCCTTAAAAACACCAAACCACCTCCAGTGTTATTAAAATTGTGAAAACTCGCACTTTGTCATCCAGAGCTCACCACAGACAAATAGGATCAAACTCAAGATCCCAGTATGCTTCATGCCACATTCTAGACATGACAACTCCCACGCCATATTGATGTTCTTCAACATGCCTGAGGGACACATGCTTGTGACCTATATTTATTAAGTCTTGAACCAAACCAGACCAGCACACAGAGGGACACATAACAGCACTGGAAGGTTCCACCAGGCTTCAAAATTAACTTTACACATGTTACAAATGTCATAAGTTCTTTACACAGATTTACTCAAAAACAAGCCTGGGACTTATGCATTAGCTTCACCTTTCGCACAGCCAGTTATCCAAACCACGATGTTAAAAGTCAACCTGTCCACTATGAACAGTGCTACGGAAGTACTGTTGTTATGGATAAAAAAAAAAAAAGCAAACAGAAGTCCCAGAGAGCACTGGTTTTGTAATCTATTGAGAAGTTCATAAATTAGACAAGAGTATTTCAGCTGTTAGCATGCAAAAGTAACTGTTCTTGAGTAAAGGTAAGGCTGACTGATGTTTAACTAAATCCCATGGTTGGCATTATTTCTAAACATTTTAAATCCACAATACTAAATAAAAACCTTTCAAGCACCTGTGCTGTACTGGGTCACATCTGTTCTAAAAGGTATTTATCCTATATCTATTACTGTTAGTTTTTCTGTAGAATCCAATACTGCTACCAGTTTAAACCAAGAACTTCTATAAGCAGTAAGTAAAGAAAAGACACACCTTTCATTTTAATTGGAAGTGGGAACTGGAATTTTGAGAAAGCAGAAGAATGGCAAATTCTTGGTACTTCACAAGAATTCAGATCTGTACATCTCACATCATTGATGTTGCTCTCATCATCATTCCCAGCACTGCATAGCAGCTTCTATTACAATTTTAATTTAAACAACAAAATTAAAATTTATGACTGCATTTTTTGTAGCTCTCAAGCTGCCCCATATATTAAGTATTTTAATTCATGCCTCTCAAACTGTTTTCTCTGATTTAGTGTTACTGTTTTGCATTCCTAGATAACATGAGTAGAAAGCACTGCTAAAAGAATGATTGGTAATATTGAAATGGATCCAAATACATTCTGAATTCAGTACAGAGGAAACACTAAAAGCTTTCAGCTCCTTCAAATCAACATACATTGCTGGCATGCATATGCCCCTGTACATTGATGTTATAGGTCACATTGACACAGTCAGTTTGTCTCCAGGGATTTAACAGACCTAATGATGTCTGGATCGTGTACAGGTTTGGGATATAGAATAGTATTTTTCTGGTTTGTATAAAATCTGAATTGAATTATCAAGTTCATATGCTGCTGCATGTAGTGTGCACCTAGTGCTAAAGAATGCCAGTGACTCTACAAAAATATTTTACAGTTTCTCTAAAACCTCTAATTAGGAGGGTATTTGGAAGTAGATAGAAATACGACTGACTAAAGAGGTCTTACTTGTAGTATCTGTACATCTATAAAATATTATTTCTGTCAAAGTACCGGAATGGTTATTCATCTAAATAACATTTTATATTACTGACAGACATTTTAAGCTCTCGTTTTGTATAACACATAACGTGCAAATCTGCAACATACTGCACATGCAAATCCTCAATGTCTTTGTGAGGCTACCATACTGCTGAGGCCAAAACATTTCAGCCTGACAAAACAGTGTCAAAAATGATGTCATGAGGACAAGCTAAGCACACTAACAATGAATTATCTTCTCAGCACTGTAAAATTCTCTAATAGACTCACTATTATGGCAAAATGACATCTGCTGACAGTAACTATGCAGTAGTATCCAAGATGGTCATCAGTTTTCCTTTTTGACTTAATCAAGGGGTTTTTTTTTCTCTAATTACTGGTATACATTGTCTTTTTAATCACTTGTTGTTTGTTCATTTTCTGTTTTTAATAAAGAACAGAAGTTCACAGGAAAAAAAATGCATCACTGCAAAAACAACACAGAAGGGTACTGAAAAAGTACAGAGCAGAATATAATAAAACATTGCACAGTCTTTGAGAAACCAGAACTCAGAAAACCTTGTAACCTTGTAAACCAGTAACTCAGAAAGCCTTGCTTATGTTTGCCGTAGTCTACATAGACAGAAATTTCAAAGACCAGATAAACTATACTACAGTTGTTCAAGTTGAAGAATTTTATTCTTAGTTGCTACCTTACGTTTTTTATGAACCTAAGTCAACCCCTTCATGATATTCCCATGATCTGTAATTTCATTTCATTAAAACTTTTTTTTTTAAGTCTACCCTAGAAAGTAGTAGGGGTTTATCATTAGTTTATAATTTCGGCCTAGTGAGGTGGGAGAGTGGCGGTGGTATAGGAGAGTAGAAAATATATTTAAACATGAGAAGTTACAAAGTTGATCTTTTTATACTACTTTTAAAAAGTACATTGCTGATGTATCAGTCTTCCTAACACCTAACACAAAAGTTACCATAACAGTGAAAAGGGAAGTATCAGCTCAGTTCTTCCCTGTGTAATATGAGTTGGGGTATTTTTGTAGAGCTGTGCTGAGCATGTGAAAATCTTTGCCCACAAGGGAACCTCATGTCACGACATTATTTCATGCCAGATCTCCCCACCTAAGAGTTCACTGCCAAAGTTGTTTTCATTTTTTTCTGACCTTGCAGACGGTCAAAACAGAAGAAGCAAAAGAAACACACCTCTGTCCCCCTTACCTTACTCTTTCCCCATACACATATAAACTGCCTTTAGAACTGGTAAACAAAAACAGAGAGCACAAAGATGGGCTGTACGACAACCAGAGACTACCAGGAACAGGCTGGAAACCAACGCACATCACCACCCTCGGCAAGTTATTAGCAACACCACTGAAAGCCTGTGCAATTAAGAGCCTCGCTGTGTTGCCAGCGAATTATGGAGCATTCGATTTTACACAGTGGCGTCATATATTATCTAAACCATAGCACAACAAACCCCACATAAATAAAATTAAAGCTAAACGGTCTCGAAATCAAATTACGGGAAAAAGTAATAATAGGAAGAATGGATGCAAGCGTGGTATCTGTTCACTGTAACACCTCTCAACATGGACAGCGATTCCAACGAGAGGAAGGCAGCATTACAGAGCCTGTTTTTCATCTCTCGTCTAGGTACATCCCTCTGGAAACACCACGCTTATGCCATCCCCCATCCAGCAACTATCAGCAGCTGGAGCAGAAAGTTTTCGGTATAATCAAAGTTGGAAGCTTAATTTCCCTTTCTCCCCCCAGTACTCACTCCAGCCAGGAACAGCGGCGTGTTGTGTGACCAACACCCCAGGCCAGCGCTGGAGCCCGGCCGGACAGCCCCGGGCCGGGTCCCCGCACGGGCGCTGCTCGTCCCCGCGGCCGCGGCGACTCCAGCACCACCCCCCGGCAGCGACAACCCGGACACTTCCACCCAGGAGGGCCAGTGGCTGGGGAAGCGTCTCCCCAGACTGGGGCGAGGCCAAGCGGGGAACCTCCACTGGGGCTCGCACCGCACCCGATGCCTCTCCCGATGCGGCTGGGAGTGAATGCAGCCCCCCCCGGCACTCACCGCCGCGGTGCCGCGGGCGCTGGCAGCGCTCCGGGGACGGCGCTTCCCAGGCAACAGTTGGCCGTGTCCCCGCCGTGTCCCCCGGCGCCACCCCCGCGGTGCGGTGCGAGGGGCACCGCGGGGAGGGTGACTCGGAGCCGGGCAGCGGGCACAAAGGCGGCTGCGAGGGTTCGGGGGGCTCGGGGAGCGCAGGAACCCCGGGGCTGCAGCGCGCCGTCCCCGCCCCGCTGCCGCGGGGTGATGCGGGGGCGCCGAGCGAAGGAGCGGCAGAGGCGGCTCAGCCCGCCCGCTCCCGCGCAGCCCCCGGGGGGGTGGCGGCCCCCGGCGCCTCTCCGCCCTTACCTGAGCCGCCCGTCGCTGCTGGCCGCTGCAGGGACCCTCGTCCATCCCCCGCTGCTCCTCCGAGTCAGTCGCCGGCGCTGCGGCGCGGCCCAGCCCGCCCGGCCCAGCGCGACGCTGTGGCAGAGCCGCCCCGCCCCGCGGTGGCTGCGTGCGGCTCCCGCCGGCGGCCGCCCCGGGCGCGGCTCCCCCGGACCCGCCTCCCGCTGCCCAGGGCTGGGGGGGCGAGGCGCCCTCCGTGGGGTGGTGGATGGGGTTGGGGGATGGGTCGCTCACCCCCGCACTGACCGTCCCTGGGGTCCTCCTGGCTCCGCAGTTCGGGGGTCTGGGGTGTCCGCTTGGGAATAAGGGCAGGGCAGCAAGCGGGTGTCACCCAGCCCGGGGACATCGGCGCTGACCCCAACCCTCCCCGTCCTCTCTCCTCGCCTCCCAGCCCGTGGGTTCTGTTTTGGGGTGGGGGGCAGGCGGGACGGGACGAGGTGTGCGTGTGTAAATGCTGGAGTTCGGTACTGCAGATACGTTTTTGTTTTTTCTTTTATAAATTTCTGGCTTTGCAGAAGGCAGCGCTTCCTCAAGACGTAAAAAAAAAAAAAAAAAAAAAAAAAAGATCTGAGCCCATTCACAGCTTGTGAAAATACTTTACTTCCTCTTGCTGTGGTGAGGGTTAAATGAGGTTAAAGTCGCTAGAATGGCTGTGCGGCGCTTGATTTCCCCCTTCCCCAAAAGCCAGTCTGTGAATCATTTACAGAACAACAGAAAGAAAGCAAGAAAGAAAGAGAAAAACAAGAGCCTACAAGTGACAATACTGGAAGTACAGCACAGAAATACCTACTTATTTGTTCATACCAGGGTTTTGCTTGCTGAGCTCTTTAAATGTGAGAAGCTGTGATGCTGACCACAAAAGCCATCACAGCTCTGTGCCAGTGAACCTGAGAGTTCACAGCTGCGTCCTGCCTGGGGTAGATGTGTTGAATAGAGCTGTGTGCCCCAAAAGGTGTGATTCTCATGAATAAGGCAAGTTTTGGAGCATTATGAAGCTGAGTGGTTTGGTGGAGCTGTGAGCACGTAGGGCCTGCTGCAGACTTGACCCTCTCTCCTGTCACTCCCTCTGACCAAGCATTCCAGAGCAGCATCACTTCCATGCTTTAACTTCTTCCCTTTACCCAGACTGTATCCAGATGTCCTTGAATTGTTCTTCTTTGGTCTGAAAATTCCAAATTTTCTAGTTAGAAAATAATTCAAGTGACATACTTAGTCTATTAAAAGGCTGTGTGTCTGTTGCTGTAGCACATATCTAATATAGCTACCCTTACAGCACCCAGCTTAGTAGAACACTAAGCTGCTGGCTTGTATTTTTTACCCACAAGTCTCAAAGTACCCTTTAAAAGAAGTAAATAGCATTGCTCCACTTTCAAGTGGGAAGAAGGTCACATGGAAAACTTGAACCAGGGGAGAGAACTGAACCTCAGGTTCCCAGCTAGCAGCTTAATGTCCCCTTTTAATTATTTTTCGGGGGCATGCATTCTGACTGCTGTATAATGGATGTGTCTTAACCGGATGGTTTTACAAAAGAAGAGGCAACTGTCACGTCATTTGGAAATATTCTGACTCTGTGAGTGCACGCTCTCAGGTTGCTTGCACTGAATGCATCAGGGACAGCCAGAAGAATATTTTTATTCTGCATATAGGTAATATTTAGGAGTTAGAAAAGTCCAGCTTTTAAGCCCTGCCAAAACAAAGGGACTGCTGTATATTGATGAAATGAACTGTAGAACATCAGAACATAGCTGTAGCGTAATATACCACCATAAGACCGGAGTTGAACAGCCTGTAGGGGAAATGGCAGGCAAGTGATAGATTTCAGATTCTCAGCTTTGGACAATGACATTAGAGATGAGAAAACAATCATTTAACCAGCTACTGGTGTATCAGCCAAACCACAACTGTCTGTGTGAAACTGTTATCCCAGTGCTGGTGCAAGACAAATTCAGTTTGCAGCACATCGGTAGAGATCAGATTAGAGATCAGATTCCTCAATAAAGTAAATTCTGATCACTTCAACTCTGTGAGGGATCTCACATAGTGCCTAGTTTTTGATTTGAAGAGATATTAGATACCTAAATTTCTATCTTATCTCTACCAGCCCCATTCTAGTACCTCAAGCACCCTAAACTTTCTCAGGTAAAAGGATGTTCTTGTATTTACACAGGTGAATTGTGCCTCTAAATTTGGGTATACAGACAGCTCCATTTCTTAGACATTAATTAGGTGTCTAATCTCCCATTACAGGCAGTACTAGAATCCAGGTGTGGTGTTTTCATAAGGTTGCCTCACACATCACAAGAAACAGGTGCCTACAATCAGTTCTCAAGTGAGTAAAGCAATGGACCAGCCAGTAAGAGTCTGCATTATCACAACTTAAAGCTACCCAGGTCCTGATCCATGGGCAGGTTAACCAGAAACATTCAGAGATTCTTAAGATGCTCTTGGTATCTTGTTTTGTTCTCTACTGGTCTTCCAGAAGCCCTGGATCTCCTGTGACCTATAGATGTAGCTCAGAATGTCCACTGCCTATGTATCTGTCTTCACCACAGTGGATATTTAAGACATTTAGCTAAAGACACATGCATACAGACATCTAAAGCTTAGGAATCTGAATCTCACACTAAATTCCATCCAAATCGATTTGCAATCTCAAATCTCAGGGGCATTAACACATTTTATTTCACAGTTATGACAGTGTATACACAGCCAGTTGCCATGGCTCATAGCATCTTAGCAGCAGTCTCCTGATTTTTTTAGGTGCTGTCCTTATAACATCTCCTGGAATCTGAATGGTGACATAGTTATATTTATTTTAAAAAGGAATGATTCATGAAGTCATCTACAATGTTGGCAAATACTTGAATTTTATCTACCTGGAACAGTGTTGTTTAGTCTTTTGTAGAGTATGGTTCCTTGCAGGTCTTGAAACTCATGGCTTTATGCAGAATTGTACCAGCAGTCATCTAGATTCAAACAGCGGTCTCAGAACAGATGGGCACATGAGTTTTCAGCTTTTGATGTTTAACTTGCTAAGCAGAACTAAGGCATTTATCTAGCAGTTTTCTCAAGTATTGCATGTAGGAGTTGATTTGTGGAATAAAGATATCTTCCTTAATGCTCATTTTAGCTCTGTGCACACTGACATGAAAATTAGTACAAAGACCATCAAAAAAAGAATAATAATAATAATAATAATATATTCTATGAAGTAAATTATATAAATATTAAGTACAATCCTTTTGTCTCTTGCATAAGTCAGAATACCACTGATATTGTTTGGAATTGTAGCTCTTTGTAACTTCTGAAGAGGAACCACAATGTTATTTTATAATTTAGGAACATAGTTTTCTTTCTTGGTTATAGCACTGGAAATTAGGAGTGAAGCCAGCAACTTCTGAGACATGACAAACCAAAAGAGAAGAGGAGGGAGTTAATCTATCATTTTACAACTCTGAATTGTGTTTGAAATTGTTTCTTGTGAAGCCACAGTGCTGCTGTGGCTTCATCAGTATTTTTCTCTCCTCTCAAAGAACCAGCCATCAGTAAGGGAACAGAGAAAATTTCTATGTCTCAATTGTTTTAGGTATCTTCAGCTTGAAGAGCTTTCTTTCTCAGAGAACATGGAGCCTTTATCATGGTAAACCCGTAGTTTGTCTCTTGTGTCAACTGATCCATGACATTGGCAGAAGCATGGGCAGCCAGCCCTTTGCTGACAAGGGAGCAACCATGGCAGATTAGAGTGGCTATATCACTCACAAAAAGTACTGGAGTCTCATATGAATACAGCTGGAAATCTGATCTGTGTTTATCTACCTGTTTAGAAGTCAATATATAGGATGTATAATCCACTTTTAAATACTTGTACACACTTTGAATGGCACACAATAAAAATTAAATTGTTTTGTGCCTTAATTATCTTAATTAGTCATTCAATGCAAATTAACTTTACTCAGAAAAGTGATATGATTAAACTTCTGGTATAGGCTTTTTAAGATATTGATATGTGTGCATCCAGTTAAAAAAATTGAGATATATAAAATACATTGCTTAAAAAAAAATTATATTTTTTTATTTTTAACAAGTCAGAATAATATACCTTAAATAATGGGACATTGTCTGTGTCATTGTACAGAAGTGTGGTTAGACCGTGGGACTTCTTTGGGTATGGTTCCCAACTATACCTACCTTAGCCACATATACATGGACAAAGCACAATAATAATGTTTCTATACATTAGGTTGTTGCTAATGCTGTAGCACTGAAAATCATTAGAACAATTAACAGGAAACTTACCTTTTAAATTCAAAAGTTTATCAAGGAGCAAGCATGGAATATTTGTTCATTCTGCATGCTGCTTGTACAATTAAACTGCAGTGTATTTTAGCAGAAGTACATTGTACAACTAGTTCAGATTTGCTTGAAATAATATTCCTTTTGCAAAACAAATATCAATAGTTTCAACAGCTCACTGGATATGTAATGTTTCACTTATCACTATCAGTGTTAATAAGAAAATATCTAAGTACCAAACTATTTTAAGCTGGTCGGTACAAACCCATTTTCATTTGCATCTAGCAAGAGGTATCCTGGCAACCGTATATTTTTGGATTCGTAACAATTTATTCTATTCATTTTATGCAAATGAGGGAACCAATACTGGAGGAATCATGAGAATTCAAGATGGATAACTTCCATCGTTCAGAGCTATAGATAGATGATCAGGAATCTATTTGAGTGAGTTTTTTTTTTAAATAGTCCATGAAACATTTTCTTCAGTGTTTCTACCGAGGTAAAATGTTTATTTGGCATAATTCACATACTTTTGCTCAAACATGGAAAGCAAGTAGTAACCCAAGCTGTGCCCTGTGAAGTCATGATTATCCCATACCACAGCACTGCTTCTGCTCTGTTATTTTCTATGTTGAAAATCCTTCATTTTTCCCCAAACTCACATAGAACTTATGAAGAAAAGAGGAGGAGCAGAGGCTCTCAACACTGATCACATCTAAGCATGCTGACTTGAGAGCTTGATAAGCTAACACAGTATCTACAGCAAACACCAAGTTGAAGTGCTATGTATATGTGTTATCATATCATATGTGAATTTAATTGAAAGGACATTTTTTGGAGAGCTGTCTTCTGGTTTTGGTGGGTATGTGTCAATTATTCGTTTGCATTTGCTATAGAAGACACTTTACAGAAACCCTTGTATCTTCAGTATATTCCATCACTATAAAAACTT